TAATGTGATAATGATGTAAAACAAAAATTGAAAAAACAAATAACATATCATAAATTAAATAAATAACTATAAATGTAAATATTAAAAATATTTTTTCATAGTATATAATATATAATAATATAATTAAGTAAAAAAATATTCAATATTGAACTTATTTCGAAGGTATTGACGCGACGATTACAATGGTGTAACTTGTTAAAATTAAAACGTATTTTTTAAACATATTTTATTTGATATACGATTATATATGTTAATTTGATCAGGGTATAAAATGAAAAATTTAAAAAGAAAGAACGTAAAGTAAATTAATTAACTAATTATAGAGGTATAAAATGTAAATTTAAATTTTTAAAATTTAAAAAAATGAATCGGTGTGAATGTGTGAGGAGAGTGATATGTGAGGGAGATGGTGTGTGAGAGGGGAACATTTGACAGGGGTAGAAAGTCATCAAAGGGGTGACATTATCAACCCCTAATTATATTATTATATATTATATATTATGAAAACTAAAAATATTAAAGGGTTAAAATTAAAAAATAAAATAAATAAATTTTTAATTATTTTATTGTATTATATAGGTTGGGGTATAGAAAATGTAGGGGAAAAGAAATAGGAGGGGGTGGGGTTAGAAAACCCCTTAAAAATATGTTTTATTATAAATTTGATTTTCAATCAAATACATTTAGAAAGCTAGAAATACATATAAAAATACAATTTTTTTTTTAAATCAAGCCAGTCCTAAATCGGTCCCAATCCTCCACCGATCCTAAACTGGACGAGGCTCATTTGACCATCTCTAGTTAAGAGTACTTCGAGACTCCCAATCACTTTGACCCTAACAAAATAAACCAATAAAAAGTATCACCATAACAAATTATGCTTATAACCCATAGACGGATCTAGAGGCGTGGTTAGGTGGCACGCGCCACCTTATTGTTCTTCCGTGGTAAGATAAAAAAAAATTAGGTTCGTGAAAAGTGCAACCATTTTATTGTAGAAGGTGCAACCGTTTTATATGATGTCACCATATCCAAAAATTCTTGGATCCGTCCCGTTAGCCTTCATACTTGATATATATCTTGATCGACAAACATTCAGAATCCATTTGATATTTAAATCGAAACATGAAGCTACACCTTATCTACTCGATATGTGGATCTCTTGCTATTTTATATTAAATATTAATGTTGTTTTTATTCGTTATTTTTGTTATGAAGTAGTGACATATCACTTGTTCAATCATTAATGCGATATAAATAAAAAGCCCATACATGAATTTTGCAGGGACGATAAGGTGGCAGGCTATTAATTGTCGTTCACTATAGTTTTTGTAGTGTTACCGAATGTCACCATTTTTATTCTTTTAAGTTGATATATTAATTTACGGTATTAATATATTAATAAATACGGTATTTAACTTTACGTAAATATAATATATATTTATATTTTGTTCTTGATTTAATTTAGTTTTAAATTTCATCGATTTATTTTTTCCGATCGTTTTATCTATTATACTACCTTGTAAATCATATTTATCAAAAGTTTTAAAAACAACTCATAATGCATTAAGTACTACTACTTTATGCATTTAGTTTTGAAATCACTTTTAATCTATAATTAAAATAATACATAATACAAGTTACCAATGCACATTATTATCTTTTTCTTTTCATGTTCCCAAGATAATTTTGACACATTTCACTCATGTCTTCACCCTCTCATAGCTCTATGTCTTCTCCACATCTTCTAATGTGAGATTTAAACTGATATTCATCATGAGTCATTAAAAGTTTCTCATTCATCTCTCATTCAATTGCTATAGAACTCTTGGTCTCGCTCTCGATCTTTTGATTCTTTGCTCTTTGTATAAATCGAACACATTTTATGGAGTCGTTTAAATATGTTGGATTTTAAACTTTCATACAGTTTTTTTTCATCGATAGACTGTAATCGGAACCGTAACTCTTATTTGTTCAAATTGTATTAATATGTAAATACCAAGTGTAACTTATATCAGCGTTAAATCTTTTCTAATAAAACCAGTGAAACTTCAAAATCGTTAAAATTTACTGCTACCGCTGTATTGCACGGGTACACAATTATTATTATTTTTTTAATTAAAATCTTAAACTAGTAACATGTCATAAATCAGTAAGATTAATTATTGGATGAATTATGGCTTATGAGTATAGGACCACCATCAAGATATTGTTGTATAACATGAGATAATGAAATATGGAAAAACTTAAAAACAAAATAAAAATGGACCCAAAATTGTAAATTATTATTAGATAAGTTTGGTGGTACATTTGTATGTACTTTTATTTATTTATTTTTGTATTGTTTGAATTGTTTAAGATATTTAAATAATATTTGTTATTAAAATATATCAAATGAAACAACTTAAACAAAAGGGATGCGACAATGATGGTAATTTATACCTCGACTAATTTTATGAGGACCTGAGAACAGATAAACGACTGCCAATGCATGCAATCATCCTATGGCACTGGTTAAATGGTCATCATAAGAGAGAAAAATAACGGCATCCTAAAAGCATGTGGGTGACGCTTGGGTTCAAACCCGAGACCTCATATATGAATCGCCCACATCCCAACTCCTTATCGCTAGGACAATTCAACGAGTGTCGTAATCCGTTAGAAAAAAGAGAGAGATGCATATTTTGGATTCTTAACTTGACTAGTCCGTGGGATGGGTTCCGGTCCATAGGTTCCTAGTTCAAGTCTCCTTAGAACCACTTAAGATTTTTTGGTGGTTATATCTTTAGAGGCCCATGAGATTAATCAAAGTACGCACAAACGGTACAAATGTCAGCGAAAAGAAACAACCATTTTCTTGGATATAATTGGAAATCCCAACAATACAACCATAATAAGCCTAAAATGTACCAAACAAAGTAAAAAGTCTTGAAATCTTACAATATCAAACTTTTCTAAGACGATATCGAACTATTTTGGCGGAAATAAAATTTCACGACATGAACGGGCCACGCATCTGATGATTTGGGTGATAAGCCGATTCTGACTATATGCAAAGTAATCTTACAATCACTTCCAGACTCGATCTACAGACGAAACTTTCTTCAACCATGTTACGATTGATGTACTTTCAGTAAAGCTTGGTAGAACATGTCGATGAATTGATTATCCTGCACAAGAAAAAGCAGCTCCAAAAGTATAAATAAATGCTCATGCCATAGTTCTTTCATATATTTTATCTATGGGTGTCCAGGACAGCTTGAGCGCACCTATAAATAACAGTCAGGAAAATCCTAGGTGGGCCTCTGAGGATACTCGAACTGACGACCTATGGGATTTAAAAGCAAGGGATACCCGAATATATTGTTCCAAAGCAAGTAAATAACGGGATTGTAATAAGCAGTTGCTGCATGAAAGTGGTTAGCGCCTGCTTTTACGACACGCAATTTGTTTGGTCTCCACATCCAAAATACATGCACCCAAAGCAAAATTTGGGCAACCCTTTAACCAATTTTGTGTTAAACTCGAGCCTAATAAGCAAGGAAGATGACGGGATTCTGAAATATGAAGGGACCGACTTCTTGAACCATCATGCTTAACTTTTCATGGCAAACAAGAAGCGCCCTGTATAACAGTTACTTTTTCATTTTCATTATTCATCTATTGTAGCTTATTCATGCAAACCAACGTATTTTTTGACATTTTCACAATATTCAAAAAGTTGATCACTCCTAAATGTAAAAACAAAAGTAAAAAGATAGATGTTAATACCTGTGAAAGCATTACAAGTGCATCACGAACTTTTTCTCTGCTCAACGGTCCATAATATGGAGCAGAAGTGGAGGTAGGAGTCAGTGATGGTGGAGGTGAGGGTGGCGGGAATGGTTGAAGCAACGGAATGCCAACGTTTCGTTGTACATTCAGAGGGGGCTGAAGGGTAGGAACCGGCACAGATGAAGAAGGCTGCCGCATCAATGGAGATGATGCAGAAGAGGGTGTAAAGAAAGAAAGAGGCTTAATAAGATTGGTTACATGATTGCTGTTGTTAACAGGGTCGGGATTGTCATGGTGAGGAGGCATGGCAGGGATGGATGAAGGGATCTGCAATGGTGAACCGTTAACCACTGGAGAAGGAGCATCACGAGGAGCTAAAGGAACTGTTGATGAATTATGGTAAGGCTGAACGGAATTACCCGGATTGGGAGCATTATGTCCCAAATTCATAGCAGTCTGCAGTGACAGAATTTAATGCACAAAAATGAGTCACACTTGATAAACCAGAGGTAAACCATGCAGAAGCATGCATAAATCCATATAAACAAGCATGCACACACGTCAATGGATAAAACCTCTTTCCGATTGATTTTGCATGACAGCATATAAAACAAAAACTTGCAAACTGTTCCACCAAGAATAAGAAGGGACAAAGGGTAAAGAGAAAGCACTTAAAAGCATCAATTTCACTGAAAATGCTCTAAGATCCTGTTTGGTTTGTAGGATTGTATAGGATTTGGAGAGATTTGGAATTCAATTCTATTAAGATTCCAAAGCCTTTCACAAAATCCAAATCCCCCAAAACAATTCCATCAAACCAAACATCCCCTAAGAACATAAACCAAACCAACTTCTCACACCTACGCAGGGTCTAGTGGTAGGATGTAAGCATACCTTGCCTCTACCCCAGAGGGTAGAGAGGTTGTTTCCATAAAGAAGCCTGGCTTCCAAAACAAAAACAAAAAAGAACAAGACAATGATCTTACGAGCATATCATCACAAACTCTGCTACAGAACAATCAAGCATGGTCCACCAAATGCAGGAGACAGAAACTTAAGACTTAAGAGGTGGGTTGATAGATACATACACTAAAGAAGTTGACAAATGAAGAATCCTCGGGTACATCTGTAGAGCGGGAGGTAGTCAATCCTGGTTCCAATGGTCCTTCAATTACAGAAGAGGTAGGTACCGCTTCAAGTTCCTCGAACTCGCTACACAAGGAAAACGTAAATAAAAAGTTGTAAAGACAGCTGGATTGTAGTACAAACTTTGGTATGAAATACTATAAGCCCAAACAACAAATTGGAACTGAGAACTCAACAAACCGACTGGGCTGAATAGAATATTCCCAACTTAAAGACTCTAGTTCCCATGGTGTAATTAGCAGAGATACCCTTTTTTATCTTTAAAAGGATCAAAGAAAGTGGGCAAGACAAGGTCCAACCTCAGGATTCTTGCAAGTAAAGGATCGCCTTCACCACTAACCTACATTTTTTTTTTGCCTTTTGTTCAATTCTGATGTTCCTCTTCTCCTTTAGCTTTCTCTAATTTTCCTGTTGCTAATTAACTTTTAGATCCATCCGTGTCAACATTTACAAGTCAAAACAGAGTGGAAACCACTTTGCAGTTAGAAGGCACAAGAATATGTTTACCCTTCACTATTTGGAAAACCACTTTGTATTTAGAAAACACAAGAATATTTACACTTCACTATGAATCGCAATAACTAGTCCATCTCTTCGTTCAGTTGTCTTCTGTATAACAATATTAATCCAACTCAAACAAGGATCGGATTTTGGTATAAAAAATGGAGCAAGAAAAAGTACACCACAAAGAATACATGCGCTCGATCAGATGCAAAAGCTATATCATAATGCCAGCTACCTTTTGTTCACTTTCTGCTTGGGGGGGACCTTTGAATATGCACCAAGTATCCTGGAGGAAAAAAAAGAATGATGATGAAACGTGTATTTATGCCACATATACACCGATTACATGGATAAATTTCCACTAAAAAGAAACAACGGAGTGACATAAAAAGAATTTGAAGATTTTACATTGACAAACTTATTCCTTGATATCATGAAACATATAAAAATCAAGAAACAATGACAATTATGACCTATTAGTAAATAAATGACAAATATCACAATAAATAAACGTATATGAAGTTAGTAATGGTTTTCCATATCTCAAGATACAAAGGATTAACACAGCTTTTTGAGTCTTTACTATAGAGAACTACCATACTCAGTACAAGCCTTGAGTATTAGTTCATCATATTCATAAGATTTTTTTGTCACTATACATACTAGCAATCTCGAAAGCATACATGGATCAGGAATATTACAAGTTTAGTTCCATTAAAAAATCTTTGATATGATTGTATCATATAATTTGGGGTGTCGAGTGAATCAGAAGATCCAGAATCAGCGTGCCTTTTTGTAGTTTAAAATTTGTTGTCAAGAAAAAATCAAAGAAACCAAAAAAGAAGAATTACTTGGAAACCTCCAAGACTGCAAAAAAGAGGAAGAATTTTGACAGGAATTATTTTTGAGCAGCTTATTATGTAAAATCTTCCGGTTACTCTACTATTACTTCTATTTATCTGGTCGCTGCACCTTGTGGTAGGCTTATGCCCACTAGTCCTACTTTCTGGACAAAAACTGGCATTTCCAAGCACGCTTGCCCTTAATGAGCATAAATGGGTAGAGAAAAGGTGGACAAAACCTAAGGTATCGTAGCAAGATAAAGAAATAGATTATTGGATGGAAACTAAGGGCCTGTTTGTTAGCAGCTTAATGAGCTTAATGGGACTCACAGCTTATTTGGTCAGCTATACATGATTGTTTGACAGTGGCTTAATGATATATAATGTGGCTTATTCAGTAAGATTCTAGGGGGGAGCTTTATGCAGAAAGTCAAGTTTTTTCCCAAAACTGCCCTCCCAATTAAAAACACGCTCCTTTCCATCTATCAAAAAACCCTCCCAAACAAAAACCATCTCAATCTCTACAGACAGATTCCCCAGACAACTTTATCCATATAGGTTAATGGAAAACCAACCAAACAGCCCCTAAGACTGATAAGCAGAAGTTGGTCAAAACATAAGGTATTATAGCTAAATAAATGGTTTATGATAGAATCACCAAAACTTATTTCATGTAATAGTATAAATGCAAGCACATACTTTTCTGATCTTGCCACATCCTAAAAACAAAAAAAGCTTGTAATTACATATGTAGACAAGATAATCACATATAAAAATGTTTAATGGCTTAGTTAGGTAACTTAAGAGTCTGTTTGCAGGTGTCATTGAAGTCAATTCAAGCAACATAAATATGTATCTAATTATCAACAAATGGATATGGTGAGGAAAGCTAGCCTAGCATACAGAAATGAATATACGTACCTAGTAAACAGGTTTGCAACATCCTCACACTCACGCGAATTGTAGAACCAAATACCATTGACTTCTTGAACTGCATTCCGGTACAGAAGATATGGAACTTGAAGTTCAAACTCAAAATCTCCTAGGAGATTCTCCACAAGGTTTTCTGTCAATTATCAATAAATATGTCAAAGAGCATAAAACTAAAAAACTCATCTGAATCCACATTCTTATTGCAAAAACAGATAGACAAGAACTAATTTGGCTGGCATAGCTCCTCTATACAACAGTTGTACAACCTCAAAGGTAGCATCAAGTAAAAATCATCAAATCTTTCAGCATGGCCTGCTTGATCCAGAAAGATCTCTTTGAATTTCCATGTATCACAAGAAATAGTGGCATTCAGATGAACAATAAAATTAATTTAATACACTCCACTCATCATCTTCCCAGACACCATAATACAACCTTTGACCACACCAACTCAACTTCCTATGTCAAAATTTCATATTGAAGTTCTCCAAGCTTCTGGTTAACTATATGGATGACAACCACTAAAAAGTTTATTCTTACTCGATAACTATGACCCTGGAAATCAGAAGTACAAAATTTAGGAGTATAACTACATAGATAACTTGTATCTGTAAGGACCCATATTCATCAACTTTTACACCTAGACAAAGGTGTTTGTCAGAAGGACTATCTATCAATGCCATTCATGAACTACAAAAACAAAAGCATGCCTGTATTTCGCCGATTCATTACTATAAACTGGAACCTTGGCTGGGAGTTCCTGCAATCATGGCAAAGAATATAAAATATTAGATTGATCAATTCGCGTTCTCCAAAAAAAAAGCAATCAAACTACAAACTCATTTCTCTTTATGTATATTAATATGACCCTGAAAACAGTTTGATACTTTATGTCATTCACTTATGCAGTATAGACGTGATTGTCCATAATAAATAGACCCCTTGGTAATTACAGTTTGTAAAATAAAAAGAAATTAACAAGATAATGTTATTTGCATTAGCTACCACCTCTTAACGACAAAGAGAGACCCTTCAACATCCTTGCGACTCTGAGAAATAAAAGAAGAAAACACAAATAAGAAAGAAAGCTAGAAAAACAATTTTTTAAAAAGAACTTTCATGAGGTAGTTGCAAGATATTTTTTATACACTAGTTCAGGTTCAAGTTTAAGATCTATATATGCAAAAAAATATGCAGGATCTTTATACAAAAACTTTTCTCTAGCTTCAGCAACTTTGAGGTGTTCTATGGAAGACTTAAAAATTGCATAAAATGAGAATGAAAGCACTTGATACAAGTCAGCATCAATACTAACGTCAGATATTATCTTACCCAACATCAGAGGGATGTGTTACTCTTATGGTTTAACAATGATGCCAAGAGGGTTGAGCAAAATAATGCTGACTGATTCAACATTCTGAAGTACAATCACTCAATGCTTGAAACTTGCAGAATTGTTGTAAATTGTAACAGTTCTCAAACTAGTGGATGGAAATAGTACATCAACAACGGCCTATGTGTATGAAGCTATGGATCTTGCTAAAGATAAAATATGAGGTTACAACTATAAAGCAAAAGGGTTTTTATCAAATTTTAAGAAACAATTAAAACTAGATGACATTTACAATTCTACAAGGCACTCCATGTAGCAGGATAATTGTAAACCCAAGGTTAGTTTACAACAACTTGTTAATCATTTACATGCTGCTTCTGCCATATAGTTTTGAGGTCACTTGGAAGCTATGTTTATGTCACTTCCTATTTTCATTTACTTAACTATCATATACTCCCTCCGTCTCAAAATAAGTGTCCACAACAGAAATAGCACATAGTTTTAGACATGTCACATGCATAATTATTTGATCCTTTTAGTTAACCAAATAACAAATTTACCCTTAATTAATTTATCTATCTAATGAACTCTTAAATATTCATGCATTAATTAAAGTTAGATTTGGAAATTTAATTATCTATTTTTTAAACTGAACACTCATTTTTGGGACGGAGAGAGTACCATTTTGTAGCTTCAATACCATGCAAGTTTTAATGTCGACAAAGAGGTGATTTTTTTTTTGCTCACAATAGTTAATACGACCCATCTGAACGTGGGAAAGAGAACGAAAATGGGCATGCAATTGGAGAAGTTTAAGACAGAAAAGTGTATAGTTGATATGAGGCAAGAAAAACTGGGTAACAGTACTTCCTTTCTTGATTTGCTACAATTTCCACATATGGCAACTCAAATGGCTAACTAAGTAGAGCTTGTTAATAGTATTTTCTCATACAACATTATTGTTTTTGGTCTATAGCATTGTGGTAGAATATATACGGATCCAGTTACAGCTATCCAAGGTCCTAATTCAGCTCAAAAATAAGGAGCAGCAAAGTCAAACTAAGGAATAGAAGACAGTAACCTACTCGGGTACTAATTCCCACTTACAATGCCACAGGGTGTGGGAGAAATTGGAGCACCTTTAATTACATTAGCTCCAGAAAAAGAATGGGGCACTGACCCAATGCTCTTGTATTTGTCACATACAAAATTCAGCTTGAGTAGAGACCTAAAAGGGATGCATCCACTATCCAATGGTTGCACCACTGAGAAGGAATCTCCTGGTCTTCCATTGATGTTAGTATGTTATGTAGATGGATGTCCATGAATACTTCTAATAAAGCATGGTACTAGCAAGTGAATAAACAAAGTAAACCTGCTTTACCGCTTACGCTTTATCATGTAAATTATTTAAGAAAAAGTTAAGTGAATCTACTCTCGGGTTCGTCCCCCATTGACAAAATTAATATAGTGATCATCACTTTGATTCATGAGTTGACAACTACGTAAAGAAGTACAAGCTATAGGCCTAACCCTATATGAGATAGCCTCTCCATGAGTTACATGAACACATAATTGAGAATCTTGTATACACAAGTTAGAAATAACAAACTTAATGGAATTATTGCATGTGCATCGTCCACATTGGATTAAAGTTTTGATTAGAATGGTATCCCCATATCTCTTTCAAGTGTGTTGCTAGTTCAATACCTTCCCAAAAACATCTCACTAACCTGCCTCCAGATCATCCCATATACCAAACACCATACTCCAAATTAATCTTAAACTGGTTACTCAAGAAGGTAAATTATGCTGCCTTCTTCATTGATATAACTAACATCACTGCAACTTGGGATTGATACACAATTCTTCTTCATTTCACAAATTCTAACATTATAATTCCTCTATTGATCATCCATCCCAAATCGATTGAAAGTTTGAACCTATACTTTGGTATTTAACATTACAAAAGGGGATAACTTCTAGAATACTCCATAGTGCCCATGGGATTCAATGACAGTTCTATGTTATTAGAAGTGACTAGTGAGCCGTGTCGCACGAAATCGCCACTTGCCAGTTGGAGGATATGTTGAACCTTAACCAATTCATTTCACGATAGGCAATTAAAAGCAATAAAACCCATAGCTGATCAACAAACAACCTGAGACTGTTCTAAAAAAGACAAAGGATTTAGACTTGGGAACATAAACGAGTATCGCTGAGTTAACAGAAAAAAGAAAAACAAACCCATTGATTGAGGTCGACATTGAACTCATAGAAGGTGACGTGAGCGGCAGTGATCAAGATCTCCTCGATGTAAGGATCCATCCGCTGAAGAACAGTAAGATTAAGGATCTTTGTACTATTTTGGTCAAGATTAGGCATTAATTTTCCACTTTGAGACATATTTACTTAGATGATTGATTCGATAGAGATCAATCAGACTCCTTTCACGGAAACCCTAAACCCAGTTGATAGAAAAGAGAGAGGGTTTGTATTTCTGATCGGGTCGGGCTGCTCTCTCTCTCTCTCTCTCTCTCTCTCAATGCTCACAACAGAGAAGGATCGATTATTGTCTAGTTGTCCATCTATGATTCGAGTCGAGGCTTCCAGTAATCTTTTATGGTTTATTGGCGCTAAATAATAAAATTGCAATCTTTTTAAGCTTTAATCCAAACAAATTATATCAAATTCAATAAAGATTGATTTAGGGGTTGTTTGTTTATCTTTTAATAGTTCTATTAAGAGACAATCTCTGAATCGTTAAGAGATGAATCTTGTTTGACAAAAAAAAAATTTGTCTTTTAATAGTTCTAAAACTCTCTGAATGATTTTGTATCCCGGAACTCCCTTAACCATTAAGAGCCCTAATTTCATTGTACACTATTAGCAAACAATTATAATTCATTTTGCACTATATTATGAGAGTCTCTTAATCATTCTGATCACTTAATCATTTTACACCAAACCATTCAGCAATTGCCAAACCACCCCTTAATGTTCATGTAAGATTAGTCGTATTTGTTAGCAATTTTACGAGTTTGATGGAATTTGGATCTTATTTTGTCAGCTATATTTGACCTTTTGATAGTGTTTAATGATATATAAATTGATTTATTCAGTAAATTTTTAAATGGAGTTTTATGTAGGAAGTCAAGTTTTTCTCCCAATTAAAAAAATGTTCTTTATATCTATGAAAAAACTCTATTAAACAAAAATTTCTTAATCTTCGCAATATGTTGGGACTATATTAGAAGAAAAATCTGTACGAAAATGGATGCCCCAACACAAAATAGTTAAAATGGAGATCCATGTAATTTCAAGTACTTTTAATTTTATCCGAGTCTTGGTGTCCTCTTCTTGGAATATAGCATGTTTAACATTTATTGTTGTATGAAGTAAGAAGGCTGATGAGAAACATCGTACATTTGTTTGGTCTTGTGCGTGGACAAGCCAAGATCTAAAGAACTTGTTGCATTTTATTTGATGGATTCAACTGGTTTAAATTGTTAACCAGACTACAATTGTGGAATTTTCTTTTCTAGTGTCATGTAGCCTCGTTTAGAAATTTCATCGGTAATGTGTTCTTTTGTCACCAATGATTGTGTGAGAGGCTAGTTGGTCAAGATGCAAATGTGACTCCATTTCCGGTCTCCAATCAAAAATTCAGTTATTATAGGTAAAATTCAATGTTGGCATTAATTTTGATAGAGACCCTTAAATTACCTGTTACATGTTCAAAAGATCAACCAGACCCTTAAATAAACAAAAGTTTGATAGAGACTCTGAAATGACGATTTTAAAAGTTGGTTCCCCAAAATATGAATCAGGTGAAAGTTGGTTCCATTTTGGTGTAATTTTCTCATTTTTCTATAATTATTTTGCAAGTTGGTTCCCCAAAATAAGAATCAGATGCAAGTTGGTTCCCCAAAATAGGAATCAGGTGAAAGTTGGTTCTCCAAAATGACGATTTTGAAAGTTGGTTCCTCAAAATAGGAATCAAGTGAAAGTTGGTTCCATTTTGATGCAATTTTTCTTATAAAAAATGATTTTTAAGAATTTTTATTAAATATTTTATAATATAATATGAATAATAATCATTTAATATATGTATTGTGTAAACGGATATGCATATAACAATGCCTCGAGACCCTTTCAATTCAACGATGTTTAATTAAGGCAATGAACAATAGAAATTTTGATGATAAATCATACCATATCATGTAATAAAATAAAAATAAAAATAAAAATTACAACTAATTAACCATCAATCCAAATCACCCCCTTTAAGAACTCAAGAAAGCCATAAACAGTCCCTCAAATTTTGAATGAAAAATAAACACAAGTCACCAACTTCATTTCACAAGTTTTAAAGAGAAAAGGCAGACAAGACGACCAACACCATAAGGACAACCACCGAGAGAAAAGAAGCCACCACCGCCCCGCTAGCTTTCTGACAGAAATCGTTAAACTGTTGACAGATTGCCGGCCAATTCGCATCTCCATTCCCGTTATGAGCCAAGTAGACTATGGATGCAGCCCCACCCGCTGCTGATGTTGTCAAAGCAACCATAGCCTGAGATTAAGACTAGAGACTTAGCACATATATATACATATACCAGTAGATCCCAGCCTCCGAGGTGGTCAAGGGTTCAAACCTCAGTATTTTAATAAGATTGTTCTTGTTATGGGATCTTACAGTATCGAAGAACATGAGGACGACCCTTGGCTTGATTGTATGTGGGCGTATAATGCACACAATCGAGATGGGAATCGAGAGAACCAGATAACTCGCAGTTATGGCATTTGCAACCACGAAAAACCTGTTTAGTGTCACCAGAAAACCGTTAAATAATTAAAATCAACACTTAAAAAAGTTAAATAAATATAAAGAAATAGATTTATGTACTTCCTTATAAATTCAAAGTTGTGAGCTATCAGTAAGTTTTATGTGCAAGTTAATTTGGTATCTTACATTAATGGTATGTGTAGAGGATCAATTGACTTACGTAAAAGCTGGTAAATCATCGTAGCCAGCTTGAAACTGGAAGAACTGGGTGAAAAAAGGTAGAGTCTGTTCTGTTGAAGCCATGGCTATGGCTGCTGCTAAAGCAGTAGCCACACCTGCTAGCCTCACAACCACATCGAACACGGCTAAACCTCTCTTGTATCGATCACCCTTTGTTGCAGCTGCAGCTGGTTGAACCACCACTGGTTTGGTGCTGCTGCTTGAACCACCTGGTGGAGCTGCCAAAAGGGGTGCTTTTCCTTTCCTTTCCTTGGGTGTCTCCACAATACTAATGGCAGTCGAATCCCCTTCCATCCTGCAATATATATTATTGTTCCACAAAAAGATGTGTCTATGTGTGTGTGTGTATATATATATATATTGTATGTATATATATATAAATATATCTGAAAGAGATAAGAGAGATGAAGATGGGATTAAAACAGTAGCAAGATGGTTTATATAGCAATGAATCGTTAAGAGTTGGTGACACAGAATTTATGATTATGAAGTTGATGGAGGAATGAAGAGTTGTTGGTACCATTTTCTTTTCTTCTATTTTCTCATGCAAAAAGTGGGACCCTTATCAAGATTTCTTGGTTTCCTATAGAAATTAGCCGTTGTCACTTGCCACAAAACTCCTCTCTTTTGACCTTAAAAAGGGTTTATATATAAACCTAGTAACCGATTGATTTGAGCTTGCCTCCAAAGGTCAAAAATACTTGAAGGTCTCAGGTTCAAATCCAATGAAGAATAAAAATTCCCTTGTGGCCATAGAGATTCAAATATGGTGACTCCGGGCTATCTACAAAACATGTGATCGTCCTGGGATTAGTCGGCTTGCATAACGGGTTGAAGATTCAGGTTAATTTTAAAAAAAGATTATATTCGTTTTCTAATGGTCTTAAAAAGTAGAAAAGCATCATTTTGACAACAAAAATTTTCCATTTTTAATTACTTTTTCTGGGTATAAACCAAACAAAAACACCCGTCTTCGGGAATAAAAATATTCCGTCTTAAATTCTCACATCTCGTTCATGTTTATAAATCGTAGTAATATGTATTACTAGAGAGATAACGAAAACTTGTATTAGATATAAATAAAAATCCGATCTGTCTTAATGAATAAGATACGAACTAATTACAACGGTTTTTATTTATTTTTCCTTGACTAAAACTAGTTTTAGTAATAAAATAGTATCTATCTTTCCAACTAAAAAGTTGTCTTTTTTTTTCCATGATGTATATAAAATATTAATTAAATAATGAGTCAACTAACCAACTTTTCCCCCTACTCCACTAATATTCATTATAAGCTAAAACCAACTAAACCTTTTTTTTGAGTATTAATTTCTATAAGAAGTTGTGTATTTTTTTATTAACTTAGATATCGAACCTATTATGCGAGCTGATTAATTCTAGAGCAACTATATGTGTTCTTGATTTTTATATATAAGCAAATGAGAAGAATTTGTTCTAGAGTTTCTATGATTACTGATGATTACAGATGTAGAAAAGCTGATCATTGGGCCGAGTTCAACCAATAATTTTCATAATTGATTCTTTCAAGGGGCCAAGCCGAGCCTTCACCAATCCTGTTCGTGAAATTTGGTTCTTTGGCCAGTTTTACGAATGCCCTTCCAGTTTTTAAAAAACATGAAAAAGACATTTTTTTCTACTTCTTTGACGAAGCTTGATCGGTTCGGACCCATTAACCAAGCTTGGATTAGGCTTTGCAATAAGCGCGGTCATCTATAAAAAAAAATACTGGACTTGTTAGGCTTGCTTTTATGTCCAGACTTCAGACCATACACTGTAATGATCCTTTGTGAAAATGAGCCTTAGGCCCATTATTCATCTTATCAAAAGCAAAGATTGGTATCCTAGTCGTGCTACGGCTACTTATTTGAAAATATGATTTACTTTTCGGTTTTAAATTTCCATCCCTACTTTCTTGCGAAACGATTCTGAATTGCAGTGATTGTGAGCGTTCGATAAATATATGGTTGGAGAAGATGTTTCCGAAAAACGAATACCATCTGTTTGTGTTGCCTGCATTGGTCTCTTGATACAAAACAGGTTATCAATTGCCTTTTTTTACAAAAACAGCCCAGTTGTAAGGTTTACTTCAACAATGCCTAACAGAATAAAGATCACTGCTCTACGTTTACGTCGTGTCCATCATGGAACAAAATGATACAGACATATATTTTACCAATATAACTTTAAAATAAAACTTAATTCTCTTTTAAAACATCAAATAAACTACCTTCCTCTACATCATTCTTTTAATATAGAAATTGAATAAAATTAAAACTACATGTATTTATTTTATTTTGGTGCCATTTGACAAAAACTTTCAAATGCTATGAATTAAAATCAAAATATATAAATAACTCATTCAAAGCAAATTGATCATTTATATGTTGAATCATGTCAAATTCTATCTTACTAAACATTGAAGAGTTGTTCTATCCAATCATAACCATATATTCCCAAACACGTTCCAATTGTGATGCTTAATTGCAACGATCAAAAGGGTTTATTCGCTAAAACTAATCAAATTTTCAACACAAAGTAGTGATTGCTTTTTAATTATAACTCACTTGAAAATCTAGAACAAAACATGAGCAGTCTAAATTATAAGATGATGAACAAAAAACAAATCAGCAGTTCTAGTGTTCCCAAATGTAGCGAAACAAAAAATTAACACGAACCACAACACAACGCTTTTTAAATTAGTATCCACCCTTGAGATCATTAACCACATCGTAAGGAATAGGAGTAACGGTCTCTAGAGTAGTACCTTCCACCATAAACCCGGGTTTGGGTCCCAAAGGTTGCCTCTTGGTGCTGATCACCACACCCTTAGCCTTGGCTTCAGCCTTTAGTACATCATTCTTCTTAACTCTCTGCTTGAACTCTTCGGTGCACCTGGAAGGCATTACGTGCTCAATACGCACATGGATCCTTTTCTTGATTATTCTGTTACCAACCTTCATTAACCAATATAAGAATATATCAGATCACAGATAAAAGAAAGTAATACAAGATTATTATATCAGCTCTCAACAACTGAAAATTATACCAAAGATAGACAATGTGAGTTGAAATAAAGATGGGTTCAGCACAAATTGTAGAACTTGACTAAACATATGGTTTGCCTATAGCATCTTTACGAGTCTGAATGTCAAACATGAACAAATGAAAAGGCGGCTAGGAGGCTGTTTAGTTGATTTTCCATCAAGTCATGTATGGATTAAGTTAAGTGAATTAATGTGAATGTTTTTGTTTGGAAGTGTTTTTTGATAGATAAGAACATGTTTTTTAATTGGAAGAGACAAGTTTGGAAGAAAAAAAACTTGACTTTCTGCATAAATCTCCCCCTTAGAAGCTTACTGAATTAGCCACTTCCTATATCTTTAAAAACACCATCAAGAAGTCTTGTAAAGCTAATAGAATAAACTGCAAGTCCCATCAAGCATATTATAAGCTGCTAACGAACAAGCCCTAACTAATGAACATTTATATTCTTACAAGGACATTAAACATGTTACAATCAATTAGAAGAGTGTAGAGCAAAAACCATGTTTGATCCCTTATTTTAAGTTCAAAGAAATTCCAATCGCAAAAGATTTGAGGTCCTAATAAACAAAAATAGTGAACTTTATGCTTACAAAAAAATTACACAGATGATTAACAAATCCTCTTTCCGAATCTCCTCTTTGGGATTGCAAAAAGGTGGACTAAAAGAACTGTATCCCTAACCACAACGCAAGTACGACACTCCAAAGCCGGGTGTTCTGAAGATTGTAGCACATAGCCAGCCCGACAAGTAACCTTCTACGAGATTAAATGATTGACGAACAAGTGAAAAAATGATTTAAGAGTTACTTATTCAAATATGTGATTCAACAAGATGATGGAATTGGCAAGACAAATTAAATCCTAAACAGACACTTAATAGGCTCCACGACCAAGATCCTTCAAACACTTCCCATGTTAGAGTTCCACATTGGCTAAACATGGACACTTTTTCCTCAAACTATAATGAAACCTCTCTTCTCTCCTCAATAACTCTTACAGAGTGATCCAATGATGCTCCAGCTATTCTAACATGTATCAATGCAACTCGGGAAATCTGTAGCATCTTGCCTCCATTAAACATGAAGTCTCACATAGGCAAAACTTGAACCATTTCTCCTAAACGTATGATGGAACCTCGAAAGAGTTCCAAACATTCTCAAAGTCCAAAAACCAGTAAACTGTAATGGTAATGTAACTCATGAAAATGAAGAATTGATGGCAGACCTAGATTGAACTTCAGACATCATCGACAACCATGTACCAACAAACAGTTAACTATTAAGTCATAAAACGATTGTTATGGAAACATTTGATCCATTTGTCAGCAACATACATGAATACACTCATATCCACACAAACGAAATACCGAAAGTACGAAACAATCAACTCTTAATCCGATTGTTTCTCTGAAATACCAAATGTCGTAGAAGTCTTTTACAACTAAATCAGAAACTTTCACAGTTTAGAAAAAGAGAGAGAGATATATTAACCTGCTTGTTCATTTCGACACCGATGGCACGCTTGGTGACGTTCCAGACTTGACCAGTACGGCCGTGGTAAAACTTATGAGGCATACCTTTGTGAATGGCGCCGTTAACCTTGATATCAACATAATCGCCAACGTGATAAGTTCTGAGGTAGGTAGATAGATGAATGGTACCCTTCTTCCTGAAACCTCTTGCAAACAAGTCCCTAGTTCTCGACCTCAGTCCATGTCCGGCCGGCATCTTTCCCTTTCACTCTCGTTCGCCAAATCACGCCCGACTGGAAGAGTGTGTAGGCAAAGATTTCAAAACCCTAGATTTATCGCGTTTTAAAAGGGGTGGATTTCGTTAGGGTTTCTTATTATTGGGCCATGCATTATTGGGCCGTTTGATTTTGGGGGAAATTTATGAAAATTGAATTCATTATTTATTTTTATGGGCCTGACAAACCCAATAGTGAATATCAATTGGGTTTCCTCGTCACGATCTCGAATCAAACTACCCATGGAATCGTGCGTCGTGTGAGACATAGGCCGATCGAGCCGCTCTCCCTCATTCCACTCGTCCATCCCTCTTCACGAACATCAATTCATCTCTCCATTTTCTGTGAAAGAGGGGGGGGGAACACCTACAAGTAGGGGTGCTCAAAAACCCGACCAACCCAACTCAACGTGAAATAACTCAACCCGAAACAATCTGATGTCTAATCGAGTTGAAAAATTGTCAAACTGTAGGTATTGGGTTGATATTGGATTATTATTATTTGAACCCAACCCGATGAACCTAGTATCCTTTTATTTCTTGAATTTAATATGATTGTTGAATTTCTATTAATATATACATTAGACAATTACACTATCATGTATGCTTTTCATATACACATATTTTTAATCTATTTATATATATGATCAGTAACTGTGAACATATATATGTAAATTGAGAAAATTAATTGAATGTGATACACGTAAGAAATATGGATAAGTTGCATCAAATGGTTGATGATGAAAAAGAAATTATGAGTAAAGAAAATAATATATTAAAGGTTAGAAAAATATTTTAATATACCAAAGTATCAACCCGACCAACCCGTATAGGTTGGGTTGCACTTTGGTTTGGGTTGGGTTGGGTTAAGATTTTTCCAAACCATAAGCATTGGGTTGGGTTGTTCAAATGTCTTCAACCCGATCAACCCAACCCATAAGCATCCCTACCTACAAGCCTATGGATACTGGCACCTATTCTATTTTTCATTGGATTTTTTAAAATTGTTCTATCCTTTATTAAAATGAAAGAAATGGATCTGGATAGAATGTTTATGCCCACCTATCCAGGTAACTTCACCCGTGAACCACAAACTACACTTACAGACAACCTTGGTAAATAAGAGATCGATCCCCTAGTTCCTTCGAAATTAAAGTATTAATGGAACCTTTGAATCCACTTTAATTAAAGCCTTTTTGAAGGCGCGAAAGTTTGCATTTTCCGTGGTTTTCCTATGTTATAACTTCCGTACCAGTTTCGGTATATTTATTTTATAGATGAAGGTTTAGAGGAAAATTTTAAAAATAAAAAATATTTTATTAAACGTTATATTAATTGATTCAATAGATTTGATTAAATAGACCGTTAAAACTATATTTTTAAATTAAAAAAAAAATCTTTCGTCCTTTATTTTTTAAATTGAAAAAATACGAATAATGATCAAATTTGAACCGAGACAAATGCCAAAAAAAAAATCATACATTTCTCGTTAATTTGGCATCCTATTCATATATTTTTCCATACGATTTTTCGTGTATTTCTGGTTCATTTGTTTAGTGTTTTCCTTAAACCTGCCTCTTATTTTATATTATTATTAAAAATATTATTTTTTTAGAAATATTTATTTATCAGAATTTATTTACTATTAATGTACTTGTGAGAGCATTCTTAACAGATTATTCAAAAAAAATATGAAAAATTACATTCAACTCAAACAGTTCATTCGTTTTAGATATTACAACATTGATTATATTATTAAAATATTATTTTTTTCTCTTAAACATTCAATTTCAAAATAACTTATTGATGGGAATATAGTAATTAAAAAAATATTTTTTTCTCATGATAATAATTTTATTTAATTTTTATCGAATTTGAAGAATTTTATATTCTCTCTCTCCCCCCTCTACGAGATTTTGAAAATTCTATTTGAGCAACAAAAACTTATTCATAATTTCTAAAATCTTCGTTTATCTATTTCGGAAAATTTATTGAAGACTTTGTGAAATTGTAGTCACAAACTTCTTGATTTTGTTTATTAACAATAATTTTAGGTATTCGATTCATTAAAAGTTAATCAAATGCTTTTGTTAGATTATATATCAAATTATGTTATATTTTTTACGGTTAAATGCATGAACTAACAACTTATTTTCATTTTTTTTTATTATAGTATTGTACTTTAATTTTTTTCCCCATTACAATAATATATTTTTAAATTATCTATACTATATTATAAAACATTTGACAAAAACTCTTAAAAACCATTTTTTATACATAAAATATTGTTTATTAATACATGTTACTTATACAACTTATTAAAGCTCTATATTTGAATTTGTCTAACTAAGTGCAAATAAACATAATCAAATACAGAATAAACATTTCATTTTAAATATAAAAATTCTAAAATATAATTAGGATAATCATTGAGTTATAACAGAATAATTAATTATTATCTTTATAAAATGTCATATTATTAAACAAAAAATAAATTATTTCATTATTAAACTTAAATTAAATTATAAAAAAAACAATCTATACTATATTATAAAGCATTTGACAAAAACTCTTAAAAACTACTTTTTATGTGTAAAGTACTGTTTATTAATACATATTACTTAAAACTCAAGATTACAAGTAGATTGTGCGTAANATTATTGTTTTCTTAAAAACACATAAAATCATAATATGTTTCGTTACATTGCATGAGTACTCTTCTAATTTTTTATTAGGATATTATATTTTGAAAAATACTAATGTCGACAATATCATATTAATCTTATTATCGGACAAACTACCAAGTAAAGATCAAAAGTTCGTTAACAAACAAAAAGAAAGCAACCTCCCTGGAAGTTTCTCTCACTTTTTATAAGTTTGACCAAAACTAAATAGATATACTATGGTGGCGTTTGTTTTTTTAAAATGTGTTGAAGTCTTAAATCTTATTTCACTTCTGACTAATAAGAAGTGGTGCTGAAGTCTTAAATCTAAATCAATAAGACTAAGGGCTTGTTTGTTTTTTAAAAAAAACCACTTAATGCCTCTTAAGTCTGAATCGGTCAGACGTTTTTATTTTCAGACCGTTTGTTTTTTATATAAATAAGAGCTGAAAAGCTCTTAATTTGCTCTGAAAATAAATTGATAACATAATTAATTAAATCCTCTTAATCGCTCCCTCCAGACTCTCCCCTCCAGATTTAGTCCTCCAAATCTATCTCGCAAGACATTCGATCTCCAAATCAATCACGACCCAGATCGATCCACATATTCTCGTAAAATCATGACCCAGATCGATCCAAATCTATCACATCCAAAACTTGACTGATTCAGATTTCAGACGTAAAAACAAACAGTCTGACTGATTCAGATTTCAGACTTCAGTACCACCTCTTAAAATTCATAAGTGAAATCAGACTTCAGACTTTAAAACCTCTTAAAAAACAAACGCTACCTAAAAATTATTTGCATTAAAGTGTATATAGACATGTTAACTTTCAAACTATAATAAATATTTGTTTATCTGGTATTTAATTTTGTATGGTTGAAATAATCTGATTTTGTATTATTTAAATATATTCAAATGTTTATTTTAATCAACTAAACAAAATGGTTGAGTTTTGGTAAGAATGAGAGATAAGGTGAGAAGTGTAAGAAAGAATCTTCATCCATTGATGCATATTAGAATGAGATGCACTGAATCAATACTCTTATCAAGCATGATTAATAGTGAATTTGATATTAAAGATGATCAAGGTTCGGATTTTTTTTACATTTCTCGCTTTAACTCTTATTTTCGTACAATTATTCATACTGAACAAGAATAATACAACAGTTGTATTGTTCTATGTCAACTTCGATTTTTCTTGACTTGTTGTACAAGTTCACATTTGCACACCTACCTTTATAAATTTTAGATATTTTATCATAATTCTATTTTAATAAATTTAACAATTACATGTAATTATACAGAAGATTCGTAAGTTTAAATTCTTTATAATTCATAAGTTTAAATTCTTAAAAACCCGACGTGCAAAATACATATCTGTGCAGCGTTGGGCTGGAGACTCTCTTCATATTGAGCCATGAGAGGACGATTAGATTTAGGGGCCGTTTACCAAACACTTATCTAGGTATAAACGCTTATCAAGTCACGTTACTTTTACCGTATGAATATTGTAAGGACCAAAAATCTTATCTGGTAAGAGGGAGACAAGGACCGAGAGTATTACCCGGTAAGTGAGGCGACGACTCTTACCATGGTAAGAGCTTACCGGATAAGTTGTTGCATACGATGCCGTTTTGGTGGACTTAAAGTCTTACTCTGTAAGTAAATGGTAGTGTTAAATTTTATTGGTAAGCACTTACCGGATAATTGTTTGATAAACAGCCCATTACTCTGTATTATATCTCTTTTCTAATGTAGATGCTAATTTATTAAAAGAAAGAATTATAAAAAGACTTATGCTATTAAACAAAAAACACATAATATGGAAAGTATTTTCAATCTCCACTTGCACGAATAATAAATAAACACAACTTGGTCAAAATATAACATTTGAATGCGATATTTTTTCCACAAGTTGATTTTAGACCTACAAAAAGTCTCGAGAAGCTTTTCTCATTCTATATAAATTAAACACGAACCTCGCCAACCATAACTCACTACTCATCTTTCCCACCTCGATCTCTCTCATTACACAATGGCAACATCAGTATCGAAAAACGTTACCATTGTTTTTGCCATTTTTCTTGTATCTTTTCTTGTTACTGCTGAATCTCATAGATTTTCAAGAAATCTGTCACAACGATCTTTGGGTTTGAAGAAAGAAAAACTAAGCCATTTTCGCTTCTACTTCCATGATATAGTTAGTGGTCCTACTCCTACTGCCATTAGAATCGTTGAGGCCACAAGGACCAACCGGACTGCAGCCACTGGTTTTGGTGACATCTCGATGATCGACAACCCATTGACCATTGGTCCAGAACGAACCTCGAGGCTAGTGGGTAGAGCACAAGGGATGTATACATCCGCGAGCTTGAACGAAATGGGCTTGTTGATGGCTATGAACTTTGTGTTTGTAGAAGGAAAATATAATGGCAGTACATTGAGTATATTGGGTCGGAATCCGGTGATGTCGACAGTGAGAGAAATGCCAGTTGTCGGAGGAAGTGGGCTCTTTCGGTTTTCTCGTGGATACGTACTAGCAAGCACTTATAGTTTCAACATGAGTAACGGTGATGCTGTTGTGGAGTTTAATGCTTATGTCCTCCATTATTAGTTATTTGTGTTACTTCAAAATTTGATTCTTTTTCATGTTGTTGATGTTTTGATTTTGTTTGATAACAAGTTATAATTTGTGTCTATACTCTATTGTATATCATATTTGTTTCTAAATTACACACTTTTAGCGTATTATCTCTGTGTATTTTAACCTGTCAAATTCAATATTACGAATCCCAGTAGTTGAGACGTTAATGTACATATAAGTAACGTTAATATGCGATCAATTTGTGTTTGATCAACATCAAGAAAAGTGATTGCCCCCGACCCTTTTACAGTTCCAGAAGCAGATGAATTCAAATAAGTTGTTGTAACGAATGAGAAGTGGGTCCCGTCGTACAATATTATTTTTATAATAATTTATTTGTTGAAATCATTCATATTTATTTATAATTAAAAGAATTACTAAAATTTTATTATAACAATAACCATTCCAAATAGGTGGCTTGCTTTGTTATTTCAAAAGCTTTGATTTTAACAAGTTAATTAATTAATCTTGTATTATAATAAAAAGGAAACTTTCTGGGCTCTTTTTGAAAACTGTCTTTTTGAAATTTTGCCTTTCATCCATACGACTTATTCAGATAAATTTCATTCGTCAAGTCATGAGAAAACTGACCTTTGGCATTTTATCTATTTTTTATTACAGAATTTAATTATTGTATTTTTTACACACACAAATGGGAGTCACGGATTGCACCATTTGTTCTCGTTTCCATCTCGACATAATTTGTTTCCATCTCCGTTTTTGGCTTCATCTTCGACCTTTTTCTTTCAGTCAACTTCGATTTTCTTGGCTTGTTGTATATGTTTCCACACTTTCACACCTTTTTCTATGGTTTTTGGATATTTTAATATGATTTATTTTGTGATTTTTATTTCCATTTTTGACGAAACATGTCTTGAATTTTAATATTGATAAAAAAATACATGATTTGTGTGCAATTAACACGAAATTTCGTAAATTTGCATTCTTGATAGTTGATGATTATAAATAACGATTTTTCTTGTAATTTATTAATCAGTTGAACTACTTCTGAATTTTGCCAAATCATGTTAATAATGCATGGTAATGGTTGCGTAGTTATAAGATCATATATTTATTTATTTTAGGGGTTGTTTGTTTACCTCTTAATAGTTCTATTAAGAGGCAACCTCTTAATCGTTAAGAGATAAATCTTGTTTGGTAAAAAAAAGTCTGTCTTTTAATGGTTCTAAAACTCTTTGAATGATTTTGTATCCTGGATCTCCCTAAACTATTAAGAGCCCTAATTTCATTGTATACAATTACCAAACAATTATATTTCATTTTGCACTGTATCATGAGAGTCTCTTAATCATTATGACCACTTAATCATTTTGCACCAAATCATTAAGCAATTGTCAAACAGCCCCTAATACATGAAATGTAAATCAAAGTTACTTATACAATTAAAGTTGGGAAAATTGCATCAAAATGGAACCAACTTTCACATGATTCCTATTTTGGGGAACGAACTTTCAAAATCGTCATTTTGGAGAACCAACTTTCATCTGATTCATATTTTGGGGAACCAACTTTCAAAATCGTCATTTTGGGGAACCAACTTGCACCTAATTCATATTTTGGGGAACCAACTTGCAAAATAATTATAGAAAAATGGGAAAATTACACCAAAATGGAACCAACTTTCACTTGATTCCTATTTAGGGGAACCAACTTTTAAAATCGTCATTTAGGGGTCTCTATCGAACTTTTTGTTTATTTAAGGGTCTGATTGATCTGTTGAACATGTAACATATAATTTAAGGGTCTCTATCAAACTTTTGGTTGGATTTGCCAAATTTGATTTAAACTTTAATATGGACATAGATTGGTTAGATATAAAAATCTTGAATGTGATATTTAATATTTATTTTTTATTGTATCAATTAATTTTTTTCTATTAAATTGATTTTTTTATTGCATTAGTAAAAAACAATTTTTATCGTGGTAATTTGGATTTTTTTCGAAAAATCTTCAATTTGATATCTGAATTTAAAAAAACGAGATTTGAAATGAAAAATAGATTTTATTGCATTAATTTTTTAAAAGAAATGAATTTTAGTATTTTTCTATAATTATTTTGCAAGTTGGTTTCCCAAAATAGGAATCAGATGCAAGTTGGTTCCCCAAAATGAGGATTTTGAAAGTTGGTTCCCTAAAATAGGAATCAGGTCCAAGTTGGTTCCCCAAAATGACGATTTTGAAAGTTGGTTCCCCAAAATAGGAATCAGGTCCAAGTTGGTTCCCCAAAATGACGATTTTGAAAGTTGGTTCCCCAAAATGATGATTTTGAAAGTTGGTTCCCCAAAATAAGAATCAGGTGAAAGTTGGTTCCATTTTGGTACAATTTTCCCTATTTTTTTTAGGTAATTTTGAACTTTATTGAAGTGAATCAATTCAAACAATGTTTGAAACCACCGCCGACAAAACATTTAGTAGCAGATCTATCAAATATTGTCGTTAGAAACGTAATATAGATAAGTTAATAATTAACTAAAATAAAAACAAAGTTTAGGTAAAAATAATAGTCAACCAGAGAAGTTTCAACCGGTTACCCGAGTACTTAAATGTTTGAAATTTTACATTTTAGGTATCAAAATGAAAGTTTTAAAAGTACGTTACCCATAATAAAAATCAAGTTAAAGTGCGTTATTTTTTCATGCAATTTATCAAAAATAAAACTAACTTTTATTTTTATTTATACTTTGAAAAACAACCTAACTTCCCAATTTTTAAGCCCGTTATAAATTTTCTTAAAAAATAAAGTCCCTTACAAATCCATGTTCCTCAAAATGGAAAGGATTAAACGAAATTAATTAAAACTAGAAGGGTATTCGCGCAATAAAACGAGATACATCTTGATTTTAATATTTTATTTTATTATTTATCTCAGTCGATGTTATAATATGGTCTTATGTGGTTTTGAAAAAACGATAATGTTTTTTATTTTTTAATAAAATATAAATTTGAAGATATCATAAAATTTTGACAAAAATATATCGTTATTAGTATCAAATTAACTATTTAGAATTATTCATTTTTTGTGTAATTTTTAATTAATTTTTTTATTATAATTTAATTTAGGTTCAATAAAAAGTAATTTATATTTGGTTTAATAATATAATTTTCTTATGAAGATAATAATTAATATTTTATTAGAACTCGATAATTATTTTAATTATATTTTAGATTTTTTATATTTTAAAATGAGATGTTTATCCTCTATTTGATTATGTTATCCGTAATTAGTTACACGAATTCAAAAATGGAGCCTTAATAAGTTGTACTTGTGCACCATTTACTTGTAATCTTGAATTTTAAATAATATACATCAATATTCAATACTTTATGCATAAAAAATGAATTTAAAGAGTTTTTGTCAAATGTTTTATAATATAGTATAGATAACAAAAAAAATTGATTTTTTTAAATGAACTTTTTGATAGTTGGTGTCATAAAATAAAAAGAATAAACCGCAACGGTGGTGTCTGATTGGTTTGAGTTTGACTCCAAATATCAAAAGTACCCGGAGATTCCAGGTTCAAATTCAATGAGAAATAAAAATCCCCTTGTAGCCACGAACGTTCAAATACGGTGACTCCGGGCTATCTGAAAACAGGTGGTCGTCTTGGGATTAGTCGGCTCGCATAGCGGATTGGATATCCAATTTAATAAAAAAATAATAAAAATAAAATAAAAATAAAAAGAATAAAACAAAAACGAAACTTATTATACGAATTTTTATATTTATATAAAAATATTTATTGAACTTTGTATATTCACACAATTTTTTCTTTTCCTATAAATAAATAATTTATTTATAACGAATTAATATAATAATCTAAAAAGTCAATAGTCGTTAAATAAATATTTAAAACTAAAAACCTTTTCAAGCTCCAACAACAACAAAATTAAATTAAACACTACATTCTCACGTTTACGCGTAGATATTTTGAATCCCATTTTTTCCAAAGTTGACTTTGACCTAAAAAAAGGATCTAGAAACTTTTGCCATTCTATATAAACAACAACCTCACCAAGCATAAATCACAAGTCATTCTCTCTTAACTCCAATGGCCAAATCAGTATTTAAGAAAACTGTTCTTATTTTTACCGTTTTCCTTATATCTTTTCTCGTTAATGTTGAATCCCAGAAATTTTCAAGAAATCTATCGCAACGATCTTTGGGTTTGAGAAAAGAAAAACTAAGCCACTTTCGTTTCTACTTCCATGACATAGTTAGCGGTCCCAACGCCACTGCCATCAGAATCGTTGAGGCCACCAGAACCAACCGTACTGCAGCAACTGGTTTTGGTGACATCACGATGATCGACAACCCGTTGACCATTGGGCCGGAACGGACCTCGAGGCTAGTGGGCAGAGCACAGGGGATGTATACCTCAGCAAGCTTGAACGAGATGGGGTTGTTGATGGTTATGAACTATGTGTTTGTGGAAGGAAAATATAATGGCAGTACATTGAGTATAATGGGCCGAAATCCGGTGATGTCGACAGTAAGAGAGATGCCAGTTGTTGGAGGGAGTGGGCTTTTTCGGTTTTCGCGTGGATATGCACAAGCAAGAACTCACACTTTCAACATGAGCAATGGTGATGCTGTCGTGGAGTTTAATGTTTACGTCCTTCATTATTGATTAACTCTGTATTTTATTTCGAATATTTAATATAATTTTCATGATGTTGAAGTTTTAATCTTATTTTATAGATTTCGCATTATTTGTGATAATAATACATAATTTGTTATATTATTGTTTTACAGTAAAAGATTTTGGAAGTCACAAACAACTATTCGAAATTTGTAATTCAATTGTTAATGTATGATTGATGATATAGATGCGATAATTTCAACATGTACATTTGAAAAATAAATTGATTGAAGTCATAGAGGAAAGATCGCGTAAAAATATGAGTTAAGGTGAAGCGTGAAAAAGAATCTGGACCCTTGATCATTTTTAATCTCACGTCACCCCATGAATTGCGCATATCACAGGAACTGATCTGGTGTATATCTTAGTACAACACATCAGTGTTGATTTTCAAGAATGAATATCCCATAATGAATTTCATTCTCCCAAATTAACCTGGAAATGAAATTTAAGCCTGTAGAAAAATGAACTCATTATATTATATAATACTAAACAATTTATTTCATTTTCATTTCTATTAATCACTGATTAATACCTTCCAAGATCGTTCTTTAGCATGTTAAATGTGAGATTTTGAACAGAACCCCCGAAATTTTGGGGTCCATATTTACATGTGTTTAGGGTCTTTTATCGATCTGTGTAAAACTATAGCCGGAATTATTTAGGTTCAAACTATTAATTGTTTGGTTTTTAGGTTCAAATAATTAATGGTTTAGATTTAGTTTCAGATTGTTAATCGTTTTAGGTTTAGCCCATTTTTCTTCTTAACATATATTATTTGTTGTCTTTTTTATACAATGTAATCAAAAGTTTTGAATGTAACAGGACCTCCAAAAAGATTGAAACATCCATGATACCTTCAATTCAATCAAACATCCCCATAATTCAAATATAGAATTAAGGTTTTTTTTTAACGAAAAATAATAATATTTTTATTAACATTTGAATTTTGAGAGTTAGTTGTGTAGGTTCCCACTTATCTTCTATAAAGTTGGAGTGGATCAGTTTGTATACGACCAAATAGAATACTCAAATCTCAATAGTCATCCCAGTGGAAATTACGGACGCCCGCCATTCTTGATGCTATAAAAGGTTTCGGTGACTATTTTAATAAGAATAATTAATATAAAAAGAAATTAATTAACACATCAAACTAAGAGGTCGTTTACCAAACACTAACCCAGTAAGCATTTACCTGTAAAATTCAATACTAGTATTTACTTACCGGATAAGATTTTAGTCAACAAAAACGGCTTTATATGCAACAATTTACCTGGTAAGAGCTGATCGTAGTAAGAACCATTACCCTCACTTACCAGGTAAGACTCTTGGTTCTTGCCTTGCTCTTACCAGGTAAGATTATTGGCTTTTGTCATATTCATCCGGTTAGGTAATTTAACTTGATAAACACTTGTCCAATGAAGCATTTGGTGAACAACCCTAAATGTATTCTAAGGATGTCATGAATTTAAAACAAATGTCATTTACATGGGTTGGCAAAAAAATTCTAGTCAATTTTGTTTGGTAATCAAAATTATATAAAATCAGTAAAACTCGTAGAGAAAAAACAGAGGACCTATCATGATGATGTCGTTCTTGGATCCATTGTAGGGGGAGAGGGTGGAGATGTAAAGAAGGAAGGGTGTTGATATAATACTACGATAGGGATAGCTGATAACTAATGATTACTAACGAAGGAGGCCAATATTGATTGGCTGGTGGTGGACGGGATGGAGTTGTTGCTGCTCAACTCCCCATGGGGCGCTTGCCCCCGTTCCCAAATAAATTGGTGTCCCGTTTTCTTTCTCATTTGCTAGCAATTTGAAAGTAAAACACAATATCCAATTTCATCCTCCAACTTTTAACTATATACACTTTTGTTCCTCCTATCTTCTCACATACGACCAACCAGCCCCTACAATACTTTATTTTCTAAAGAACGAGGTGTTACACTATTGTTGATGATTCACTTATTTTAATGAAAATACGTAGAATAATACAGTCAACGCACATGTGTGTCTGACCTAATGGTTTTCATTGTATCTAAAGTGTGTAATGAATGGTTTATATTATAGGCAGGCGGCACAACAGGGTGGTACCTTACCGCACGACAGATCGACTGGCGGTAACATCTCTTAGGTATGATTTTATTTGAAAGGTGTTCTAAATGCTAGTTTTGTTCAGGTAGTATGTATGCTTTCACTAAGACCTCGTTACGTAAGGTTGTCGTCTCACGCTGTTTGCACAACTCCATTCTCTTTAGTCAATTATAAATATTTGTATATCAATATACATGATAAAAATAAGTATACAATTGAATGTCCTATCATTTGTGTAGACCAATTTAAAGATATCCCATAAAAAAACAAGAACAAAAAATGAAAGTTGAAAGACTGCTTCCCAAAATTTCTAGGGTTTGACCAAGTTTTATGTGAAATTTGTGTCACTGTGCGCTTTCACATTTATTATTACACGCTTAAAATGTCCACCATGTTAGGGCCGCTTCTTTATACTCTGGTCCTACTTCTTTCAGATTGATCGTGTCTAAAGACTTGGTAATGGATATATATATATATATATATATATATATTCTTTTTGAAACGCCTAAAAATAATTTATATTATTACCCACTAATTTATATTCTGAAAAAATATTTATCTAAAGTCTCATTTTCCGATTTGTTTCACACTCGTCTCAACTCTTCTCAATATTGTGTTGACAATAAATATTTTTAAGCGTATCTGTTAACAATTATTTGATAGTTTCAGGTCAATAAGAAAATCACAGTGCCACTTTTTGTATTGTAAATAAAATATTTAGGGGTTGTTTGTTTACTTCTTAATAGTTCTATTAAGAGACATCTTCTGAATCGTTAATAGTTGAATCTTGTTTGACAAAAAAAATATGTCTTTAATGGTTCTAAATTTTTCTGAATGATTTTGTATTATGGGCATTCATTAACATTCAGCGGCCTAATTTCATTGTAAACAATTATCAAACAATTATATTTCATTTTGCACTATATCATAAGAGCTTCTTAATCATCTTAACCACTTAATCATTCTGCATCAAATCATTCAACAACTGTCAAATGCTCCTTAGTGACATTGTGACAAAAAGATTAAAAAGTCACAAATAAAAGTTGGATAAAACCGAGTCACGTAAAAGCTTGGAATGTTGTTTCCAAAAAAATCTAGATTAACAATGGTAATGGGCTAATGCTTATACCAATTACCAATTACCAATTACTTTGAATGATTAAGATTTCTTATCGTAGACTTCAAGTAGATATTTGAAAAAGAATTTCCTAAAAATATAAAATCAAATTATATTCTATTTTCATGCATTTTCTCCTTATCGCAAAACTATTACGTTGAAGTTTTATTTTGGGTTATAAAAACGAGATAGACACTTCTAACATAGACAATCGATTGGAGCACTGCAAACGGCAAAGTTACTTTCTCTTACGCTCGATTGAACATGAAAATATGTGGAGTCTAACATGTTATTCAACACACGTGATAAATCGTCTCTAATTATGTACCCAAATGACATCACTTGTTTCTCTGAAGTTTTAGTGATGTGACTGCTCCAATAAAATCATCCATATACATGTAGATAAAACCCATAATACAAATAACATGATATTTTTTTTGCCAATGATCAATCTGTGTTTAATACAACGTATATCATTTAAGTCGTTGATTTCAACTTTTTTGGACTAAATCTAATAACGACCAGACTTTTATGTGTAAGGATGATTTTTTGAGGGAACACATGTCACAAGACTCCTTAAGAGTGATATTTGATTTATTTATTACTAGTTATGTATTTGTTTAATACAACTAGAAGGATATTCGTATAATGCAGCGAGATACATCTCAGTTGATGTTATAATATGGTTTTACGTGGTTTTGAGGAAACAATAATGTTTTTATTTTTGAATAAAATAAAAATATGAAGAGATATAATAAAAAAGTGAAAAAAATATTGAAATTAATACCAAACTAACTATTTAAAATTTCTCTTTTTTTTGTATTTTTTTAATTCACTTTTTTATTTTTCGTTTAATAATATAATTTTTTATAAGATAATAATTAATTATTTTGTTAGAACTAAATGATTATTCTAATTATATTTTAGATTTTTTATATTTAAAATGAGATGTTTATCATCTATTTGATTATGTTTATCTGTAGTTGGTTACATCAATTCAAACATGAAACTTTAATAAGTTGTATTTACGCATAATTCACTTGTAATATTGAATTTTAATTCGTACATAAAAAAATAATTTTAAAAGTTTTTGTCAAATGCTTTATAATGTAGTATACATATGATGTAAAATGTTTGTAGATCGTGGGTGAAATATTAACGTACTTTCCTATTAAACAAGGAGTCGATAATTTATACAGTATTATGTCATCTTAGTACGACTCGATACTTATCCTGTATCTAAACGAATTTATTAGTTGGTTATTAATTACTATTTTATAAAGTTTAAACCTAAATTTACAAGAAGTTGTACACGAGGAGTAATAAGTTGTAAGGTGGTTAATCATTTGAGAACCCTATATGTTGTGAAAACTATTATCATAAGGTAATGTTTTACACGATTTTTTTTCCACTTAAGGTTATAATTTAATATATTGATTAACATGTATTTGTTTTACAATGTGGTTGTTTGATATGTATTTGGTTCACAATATCAATTTTTTTAGTTGTATTATTTGTTTCACAAACACATAAAATATGTTCACATTGTCAAACAAATATATGTTAATGAATACACTAAATTGATGTCGTAGATAGAAAAAAATCATGTAAAATAGCAAATGATGCACAGGTTTCTAAAGTAATCACAATTTTATGGTTTATCAAATGAAGATCCCTAGTTGTAAACTATTTTGAAAATATAGGGCAAAAACGCATTGAAAAAAATTACTAAATCGGTATGATCCTGTCCAAGAGTGTTCAAAAACCCGATCAATCCGACAAACCCAATTCAATTGAACGTGAAATGACCCAACTTGAAGCAATCTGGTGTTTAATAGAGTTGTAATATCTTCAAACAATAAGCATTGGGTTACGATTGTTTGAACCCAACCCAATGAACCCGATATTTATTTTA